GGAGCAAAACTATTTTTTATAGTAATTATTAGTTGTTGTTTTTTTCTTGTTTGGTTAAATAATAATAAAAAAAAAATCTTAGGTCTATGTTAAAAAAATGTTTAATAAATTTTCCTCCACAAACATTTTGAAAGAAGGAATATTTTAGAAGGCATCCTGAATGCTGATTATTTTCATTTTAAAATTGACGGGATTCATTTAAATATTTTCGATAATATTTTTAAAATTCAGAAAGCCAGTCTGAGTTGGAATCCAGCTATTTTTAAATTCAATTCTCAGCAAAACTGTTGTAACTCTCACACATCAGTTTTGCTGTTGGGTATTTTAGGAGTATATGGCTGAGTTTTTTGCTCCCCATTTGAACTCTTCATATTATGCTGTTGTATTACAACTATCCACTGCAGTATAGCAGTGCTATCATAACATCAGTGTCTCTCTCCTTCCATCACAGGCCAAGATCTACTGGAGGAGATCCTGATTCACAGCTACTTTTACCGTTCTCAGCAAATGGTGGGTCTGTTATGACTGACATCTGCCCTTTTATCTTCATATCAATATTGACTTTGATGTGTTTGATGGGTGAGCTTGTGTGCATGTTCAACCAGATGATCTTATGGCTCTTGTGGTGGTCATACTCTGTGACCTCCTGGACAGGAAGTTCCAGCCTAGAGAACCAATTAAAAGAGCAGAGGAGGGACTTATAAAGGAAGTCAGACAGGTGGAGGACAACCTTTGTAGGTCAGTATGAGCAGGTCTGCCCTGTGAAAAGTCATTCATCTTAGATTTGATGTTCTGTGAAACTAGCCCCGGTCTCAACGGTGTCTCCTCCTAAATTGAAGAGCAAGTTGAGACCTTTGCTGAAGTATTTTCTGAGGAAAATGCACTCTCTAGAGTTTTAGAAATTCTCAACAATGTCTCAAATTGCCCAAAAGATTTCAATGGAAGCCCGTCTCTGTGTTTTGGAAATTTGATCTTTTTTAATTCTTTTTCATAACTATCATAATAAAAAATAAAAAAAAGAACTCTGAGGTGGTCACTGGGTTTCCATAGGTTAGAACATTTTTGTAAATCAATTTTATCATTTAACTGCATTAATTGTCCTGAACTTCAAATATAATAAAGTAAAATCAAATGTAAAAAATTATATATATATCGTCACCAAATGATGACAAAAGACTGGAGTAATGGCTGCTAAAAATTCATCACTATCACAGGAATCAATTACATTTTAAAATATATTAAAATAGAAAAGTTGTTTGAAATTGTAATAATATTTCACAACATTACGTTTTTTTTACTGTATTTTTAATCAAATAAATGCAGCAAAAATATTACTGACCCCACATTTTTGAATGCATTTTTTTAAATATAAATAATTAATTGACTAGAGCACATCATCTGAGTTATAATGACCTAACTTGGTTAACTTCAGTTCCTAAGGTGAAAGCTGTGGTGTTCTGCACATGCTCAGTGTATCCAGAGGAGAATGAACGACTCGTGAAGACAGCGCTTGAGAACGCAGACAGCAAAGCAAACGCTGTGCCCTTCAGGTGCACACACACACACACACACACACACACTGTCCAAGCATCAAGTCTTTCCTGTCACACGCCACTAACTGTAAGGATTTAAAGTTGCTGTATCCATAGAAACAGCAGTTAATCCACGGAAGCTAGTTTAGTGGGGGAAGGATTATGTGAATGTTTGAGTTATGAGAAAATGGATATGAGCTGGATTGAATTTACAACACAAAACATCTCTCGCTCTCTTCATATTTTTCTCAGGGTGGTCAGTGCAGGATGGGACGATGAGGAAGAGAAGTTTTTCAGAACTCAGGCATCTGACGTCACAAATGGCTGTTTCCTCTGTGTGATGAAAAGAGAGGTGAGAAAGAAGACAAGAGAGAAAATCTAATGACTAACAGATTTTGTAACATATATAAAGGGACTTCTACAGACATGATGACATGCTGGGATTCATATGCTCTGTTTGTATCTAAACAAGCGTGAAGGAAAGTGTCTGTGCAAGTAGAGTTGATGAGAGAGCTCACACACACACACACCGCTCTCATGCAGAGCTTGATGCATTGCTGTCCTAAATACTGGCAGTGTAGCTCCGGTTCGCACTAAATAATGAACACACGTGTCTGATCACATTAGCATCCTCACAAGACCACACACAGCAAGAGAAACAAGGCTGTCGCTTCTTTTGTGTGTGTATGTGTCAAAGCTTGCCTTTGCACTTTATACAGCATATACAGACTGGGGCTAGTTGTCACTTTTGTACTACGATGAATAGTTGTACATGTTTGTTGTTGTTTTTATTATTACATTTAAATAATAATTAAATTGAACATTGGCCCCAAAAGCTTTCATTATCACAATCTGCCATAAATCATTGATAGTAAAACAATAGTGAAATGCTAAATGAATAAATCAATAAAAATAGTTAAATTATATAATTGTTTTATATTTTTTTCATAGAAATTAATACTTTTATTTGGCAATGGTGCATTAAATTGATCAAAAGTGACAGTAAAAACATTTATAAAGATTTCTATTTCAAATAAAATGTTTTTTTTTTTACTTCCTCAAAAAAATGTATCAGGCTTTCCACACAATTATTAAGCAGCACGATTCAGCCTATTAGAAACATTTCTGATATATATATATATATATATATTGTTCAAATAAATGCAGTCTTGGTGAGCATGAGACTTCTTTCAAAAACATTTGAAAAGTCTTACCAATTCCCAAACTTGTAAATGGTAGTGTATTTAAAAATAAATGTGTTAATTTATTAAATCGGTTTAAAACATGAGACAACTTGCCCCATTCTGACATCCCAAGAACATGGTTGACAACTTTTTGATTAAAATCCACCTTCGTTTTAATGTTGTCAGGAGTTGTGTAAAATCAGCCAGTCAGATTAGAGTTTACCAGGACGTTCCAGGTTTGTGAGCAGAATGCAGCAGATGGTCAGTGAATGGACTGTCGGCAGACTGTGGAAGTGTCGTCTGTGGCTGAGACTACTGAGATAAAACCTTTGTGACAACTAGCCCCAGTCTCCCTATATGTAATATTCCACTATGCATATGTGTGTGTGTGTTTTCTTTCTAACAGCAGGACCCAGCAGAGGTAGAAACGGTGCAGGATATTTTAGCACGAGCTGCTGCTAAAGGTTTGTTGGGGGGGCTGATGCCTCCTGACCCCCTGAATGAAGAGAAACCAAACAAGAGAAAAAAAACGAAAAGGATCCACACCAGTTCTTCCGCTTTCCTCCCTAATAGAGCCTCCCGCATCAGTGAAGATCAGTCGGAGTCCTCCAGCTGACAGTGTGCTCGCCGATACAGTCAGCCAGACAGCAGCCACTTCAAAACACACTTTTAGAATCTTGAATGACGGTCCCACAATCACACTAGATCCCACTTCAAGTCAAAAATCAACAGTTATGGATGCCACACCCAGCACTACAAATCATTCCAGTGTTCTAGACCAATCATCCAACAATAAAAACCAGTCTTCCGTTGTACAAAAGAAGCATCCAAAAGGTCGTAAGCCTCGAGCTAAAGTTGCTAAGCAATCCAGGAGAAAAAAGTCTAAGTCTCGAACTCGTAAAGAACATCAGAGCAGGTCTCGACCTCCACGCAAGAGACTCCTGCACCTTCGGCCTCAACACGCAAACATTACCTCCATTAAAAGCAACTCCACCTCAGAGCAACCCCCCTGCCATCAGAACCCCGGGGTCACCGCACAGATCCAGACATTTGTCTCAACGAGAGTCCGTTAAACCAAAAAAGGACATAAAATCAGAAGCCTTTAAGGAAGCCAGGGAGGAAATCCGGTCAAGAGAGTTGACTCAGTTCTTCACGTCTCTCTTCATCCTCCTATCGACTGTACTCCTCCATGTCTTCTAATTTCTCCAGCAGTCTTTCCTCTTCCAGCAGAATTGCCAAAGGCAGAGACTCCATCGTTTTACATTCACAGACATGGCGCTGAGCTACAACCTGTTGTTCATAAATACACATCCCTTGTGCTTCCATACAAAAGAATTGTAGTAAACAATGTGTGCAGACCAGTATATCGCCATTGAAAGCAAGGTACTGATCTTATGACTAAAACGGCATAGTTGGTTTATTAATGTTGATGTATGCTGTACTTTGGCAATACTGTAACTGTTAGTATCATGTATACTATGTTGAACACATTTTGTTTGTGATTTGTAACCTGGAAAGGAAGATCCTGATTTTGTGTGTTGGACTACAAATATGAAAAAAAAAAACAGATTTGTATCAATATGCACCACATGGTGTATTTAAACCACATTTCGATCTCATTTAATTTAAACAATATTTTGTATCTTTATTTATTTTTTATAAGGATATTTGTGTCATTTAACATTTAATTATTGCAGGTTTGCATTATATTCTGAGTTTGCATTTCACTGTTTTTTTTTTTTTTTGAGGAATACGTTTGAGGCAACTTAACCAAAATGTCATAATTCAATCTTCTGGTGAAACGACATCTCTGATTACAAATGTTGGACTTCTCCCAACGTTTGATCTGGTTAGCCCTTTCTTATAACCGACTGTAAATATATCAGCCTGTCTGCCTCCATCCAACCAACAAGCAATGGGTAGAACCAAGTCATAATATGGAAGAAAATATCTTTCGTGACTTCAATAATTATGCCACTAAAGCTTTATTGGCCCAGGTATATTGTAAACTATGAATATCCAATGTGTACAATTTGACTAGTACAAAACGTACGATTTTTAGAGAAATGCAAAGCATGAAGGTCCACCCCCTAAAAATCAGTGGGCCAAAAGCAGATCGTACAATTTCACCACAACAATTTGAAAATTTCAAATAGTTACATTCAATAGCTCATTAGGCCATAACAGTAGACTACAGAAACATTTGAAGTATTTTGTAATATGCCATTTATTTTCACAACAGTTTACATTTATATGGTGTACAAATTAGTGTAGAGCAGAGAAAGCCAACGTTTCCACAAAAACGTGTGTTTGAGTGTATTTCACCAGTAGTGTTAATTCTTAGCTTGTTAATCCTTGTGATGAGATTTCCCCTGATAATCGTCGATCAGAGTGATTCACCATGCAAGAACACTAGAGTCAAACACACTATTCTTGGCTAACATGAGAATGCCGATTCTATGCTGAATTATTGTACTGGACTACATTACCCATAAGCCTCCTCCCTCTTTCTGGTTTTGCGTGTCACAGCTGACTTTGCCAGTTGCCACTGAATTCATTTTGAAACATAAAGTGTGATTGATGCTTATTTACTGTGAACCCCTCCAAAAAAACAAACAAAAAATAATTCAAAAGAAAACAGTGAGTTGTATAAGACCCAACATCACAGAGTGAAATTCACATGAAAAATAAAACTGAACAAAAACCAACATGCACTTCTTAAGAGGGGGAGACTGAAGGGGTGCAGTACACAGACAGATTGATTTCATATCACGTAATTTTAACATCTTTATACAGATGACACTTATTTCACCATCTCAAACTCTGATTAGCAGGGTGAAAGCAGAGGCCTCGTGTGGTCAGGATACAGGAGTAATGGTTATAGTTGAGCTAGCTAAACATCTACATACTGCCCAAACAAATGTGCTCTAATTTTGATAAAATCTGATTGTAATGGTCTTGATGAAATTTTAAATGTGGTAAAATCTGATTGTAACAGTCTTGATGAATGTGTCTGTTGAGGAAATTTGTTTAAATTGACATTTTGGAACATACACTAATTGACCAAATGGATGTCTAATATAATATAAATCATACAAATCATTAATAGGACATTATAACAGCTTCCATTGCATCCTACTGTATTATGCTAAAAATGTTTCACTGCAAGGCTTTTTAATTGTTTTGCTATTGTAAATATGCATTATTAGCCATGTCTTTTAGTGTCTCACGCATGGGCACTGTGTTTTTAAAATGCATCAAGCTATAATTAATGGACTTTACAGTTATTGAACCAAACTGAATCAATAATGAACTGTTTTCAACTAAATAATCACTATTATCTTTTTAGAGCTGCTTTAATTTTGTTTGCATCACTATTTCCTTGTCTAAAACCATAAAGCTGCTTTGAAACAATCTGTATTGCATTAAAACGCATTGTTAAAACTTGTCTTGACCCAGTGGGCAATTGATGTTGAAAAGACATCAAAACTAACGTAAAAAAAACCCCAGATCAAATATGCAAATCAAACTGACATCAAAAACTTGACATGACATTGATTTGATGTAAATTGAATGTCAAACATATTGACCTACATATGCATTAAACCAATTTCAGTGTGGGATTAACTTCCTATTTTCACCCAAGAAACTGCAGTCCAAACTGAATTTAAAATAATGTTACAGCATCTTGATCAAGTCTTGACTAATATTTGACATCAAATTGATATCAAGGTTCCCTCTGGGGAGACCCTGCGTTGGGCGCCACGTTTTTAAAAAAAGCATTAAGGGTTTTGAGATTTCTCAAGGGTCCAAAAGGAGATTGATTGTTTGATTTTATGCACCTGTTGCAAATGAAATAGTCAAATAGCCATACATACTTTTGGCCATATAGCGTATACTAGCCTATACCTATGTCTAATGTTGGTTTGGGCAGAATGTAAAGGTCCTACAAAGGCCTTTCAAATGTTATGTTACGATGGCAGTCAGCGTCTGAGATACACAACTCTTTGAGGGTCACCAGAGCAACTGTACAGTGATTTGAATTGACATTTCGTGTTTGATTTGTTGTTCAATACAGGGTAAAGAATGTCTATGATACATCACAATGAAACCAGTATATACCGATATAAAATAGAATAAATCAAATAAAAAATATCATTTCTGTTCAGTACAGTTTTTCTTAAATTGTCGCAGGACATGCAAGGCAATGTGTCTTTTTTTTCCTCTCAAATCTTCCTCAGAGCTAAAAGAATGCATAGATAGACACTTACAGTTCACATCTCCTCCCCTAGAGCTAGCTCTCCTAAAAAGGACCATAAAATAAATTCGTATTCACAATCTCTACCATCTTTCACTCTTCTTCTTTTCTGTTTTATCAGTTGGTTTATCTACAACACATACATGATTTTTTTTACAGCATGGCCAGAATAAACGGGATCACAAGACATGCCCAGGCAAGTATGACCAAAATAAACAAAACCAAAAAAAAAAAAGCGACAAAATAAAAGTATCTGAAATTTGAAAAAATAAAGCCTTGATATGATGTTTGCTATATATAGATACTATATGTACACACATAAGTGACTCGTCAAAACCCTTGTGAAAGAAAGGGTAAGTCTAGGACTACAGGTGGCACGCCAGAGCACAGCAAGACCACGTAGGTGCGTGCGGGTCAAAAAAATAAAAATAAAACGTTTGTGAAGCACAACCAGGACACATAGAGCCACTAATGGCATCCAAACGTGAGGAATGGATGCTGGAACTGAAATAGCTCTTCATAGACATTGTAGTTTTTCACTAACTTGGATGTGATGCAGATAGTTTCTATTAGTCAGGTATTTTTGACTTTCAGTCACTGGAGAGCCTCTGGAGGAAGCAAGCACTACGCTGGGGTTCAAAGCAGAATTTACACGACTGAAGGGTTTGACTCTAGACAAAGTTCTTCCCGCCTCCTGTATTTTGCTCCATGAGTAATTCAGTTCTCTTCCACAACATTCTCTCTTTCAAAGAAAAAACAAAAAGGCAATTTCACTTTGGAAATATAAAAAGCACATTCATACTTTACATCTACACACTGAACAGGTCGTGTCCTTCCAGCGGTGTTAATGCAGAGCAAGTCTGTTTCATATTGGCATCTTTTCCAAGCCTCCTCATCAACTTCAGGTGAAGATGAACGTGTCAGCAGAGCTTCTTGAAGAAAACAAAACCATTTGGTGAAAGCTTCGATGTTAATGTTGTTTCACTCAACTCAAAAAGCTGGAATTTCCTACTTGGAAAAGCGCAAACGAACTTCACTTGAAGTTGAACTTCCAACTTGCGCATTTATTCTCAGTAATTTGGTTGCTAGAAGACTTCATTGTTGACGCTGAACTAATGCACTGCTAATATAGTGTTGTTTTGTTGCCTTAAGGTGCGGTCACGTTTACCTTTGTTCCAATAGGTATCCAAATTATTCGATTTCGCAAGTTGTTAATATGAATTTACTGTGTTGACCAATTGTAGCTTTTATGCAAGTTGTGCTTCATACGTCGCTGCACTACTGACAATTAGCAACGGACCGAAATGTCACCAAAATATCGCTAATGTTACCGCAACCTTCACACCTCATCTTTTGAGCACTGAACACTGGAGCAACTTGGTCAGAAGATATCAAGTAAGAATATCCGTCATCCAACTTTGAATGGAACACAGAGCACAGTTCCTCTCATCCACCCATTCTTCTCTCAGGATAATAAAGAATGCAACAAAAATAGCTTTTATGACACTTATGAACATCCTTTAGCAAATGAAGCAGCAGCAAGCTCCTCTACACACCCGCACACACATATGGTCTATGAAGAAGCTCTGTTGAGTGAAGCAGCCTTGTTTGTTCTTGTTGAATTACACAAATCTCTTTGAGTAGGCTTTGTCCTGATAGGGTGGATCTTATAGATGGGCGGAGCCTGTTGGTTTCAGTCATGCTGGAGTGGCGTGGCTTCCCATGCAGATAATCGCATGAGACGGAAGAGAGAGGCTTGTAGATAGTGGACTAGGTGTGTGTTAGTGTGCGAGTAAAGGGTGAATTTTCTTGGCATCAGCTCATTTCATAATTACTGATTTTCAGACCGTTTTCGCCCCCGACAGGTATGTACAGGACATTCTGATAGTTTTAAGCATGCAGAGCGTGACGGTGAGTGTGCGTGCTCGTGTGTCAGATCACTGGTTGAGCTCAGTGACTGGTCTCTTCTGTTTGAGCGTGTCGATGAGGGACAGAACTCCACGTTTGACGCTGGTGGAGACACGGCGTGTGACTGAATCAGCAGGGGGTGCCTGTGAGCAGGCTTTCTGAGATGGAGGGCGTGCCACCAGACACTTCTGATACCTCAACTGCAGAGACAAAGAAGAAAACAAGGAATGAATTCATGTGTTGCATGCAATGAAACAGGCTCGGTCGGATTAGATCTTTTTTTTAAACTTGAACTTATGAAATATTAAACTTTAAATTATGAAATAACAAAACTTTTAATAGAATGGACGAGACTTAAGGTTGGGTTGTTGTTTGGACACTACAGCTGTGATACTGATCTAATATATGGTCTTGACTAAGGGTGGGTGATAAATCAGGTATTTGCAATGATTAAGCAACATTGTGACTATTACAATGATTTTAATATTTTTTGGCCATCAAGTTTTATTCATAGATGTGCCTGTGTGGAATTTTTCAAATATACAGTGTACAATATACAAATTCTGTTCTCACTTTGTCATTATGGGCTACTGAGTGTAGATTAAGGAGAAAAAAATGAATTTAAATGATTGTAATATCAGGCTGCAACATAACAAAATTGAAAAAAGTGAAGGGGGTCTGAATACTTTCCAAATGCTCTGAATTTTATTTTCTTACATTTTATTAAGGTAGCTGTTTATGGCCATGTACTGTTATTAATATTTATTAAAATACATATATGAAGGGCAGTGGATATACAGTGGGATTTTTTTTTACGTTTTTGAAATAACTCTCTTATGTTCACCAAGGATGCGTATATTTGATGAAAAATGCAGAAAAATTGTGAAAAAAAGTAATATTGTGAAATATTACTACAATTTAAAATAACTGTAATATATTTGTATAAATGTAATTTATTCCTGTGATGGCAAAGTTGAATTTTCAGCATCCATCACCAGCCTTCCATCCTTCAGAAATAATTCTAATATGCTGATTTTCTGTTCAAGAAACATTTTCCTATTATTATTGTGTGTTGAAAGCTGAAAGCTGCTTAATATTTTTGAGGAAATGTATTTACATTTATCTTAATTTATTTAAATAAGAAACCTTTTGTAGCATTATAAATGTCTTTACTGTTACTTTTGATTTAATGCATACTAACCGAATAAAATCCATTTCTTTAAAAAATTCGTACTGACCACAAACTATACATACACAGGTATAGAAAAAATTAAGTTTGAGTAAAACATAATTTTTATTTTATTCTGTAAAATACTGATGACATTTCCTCCAAATTTTAAATACAAATGTTGTCATTTAGAGCATTTTTTGCATAAAATGACAATTGGTCAGAATAACAAAAAAGATGCAATGTTTTCAGACATGTTTATATTCATTTTTAGACAACACAATACCAATGTTTTAACTTTAGAAGAGTTACAAAAAATCAATATTTGGTGGAATAAACCTGATTTTCAATCACAACAAATGAAAACCAATTGTCATTTTCTGGGGGGAAAAAAATGCTCTAAATGACAATATTTTTATTTGAAATAAATGTTACCAGACCTTTATAGTATAAAACGGATATTAACATTTTACTCAAACCCATACCTAGTAATCCAGTAAATCCAGAGAAACTGAGAATTTTCAAGTGGTCTCTTAATTTTTTCCATAGCAATGTATATACATTCAATAGGCTGACAATTTCTGAGATATAATTTTTGTAGCTATATTGCCCAGCTCTGGCCATGACATTGATTTTGTTTAATTCTAAAGCTATAGTGCCCATTTACATCTGATGTGGTGGAGAACCGTTTTTCTGGTGTCATAACTCACCATGCACGCTGCCTGAACAGCCTCTGACACACTGCCAGCATTGGGATCACACCAAAACACATGACACTCAAAGTGCTGGCTCCCAGAATCCATGATGAACGCGAATGAATGCACATCTTTTCCAACTCCCATGAATGACAGAAAACGCACACGACACTCTACTAGGACCTCCTCTTCCTCCTAATATAGGTGGTCACATCAAGAATCATACATGAGTCAATATTCCAAAGATCATAAGCACAACTGCATAAACACAACAAGTTGTACTTTAGTAAAACACAACTATTTTGGCAGGATGTTATTGGGTTTAACATTGCCTTTTCTTTGATGACTGTGACTGTTGCGTCAGCTACATTCAGTTTCACAGGAATCCAGTCTTCTCGGATTGATGATGTCATCAAACTGTCTATTGCACCGTTGAGAATGTCCATGCCTAGAAAACAGTGTCATCTGACCTTGTAATTGCATGTATGGGTCCAAGAAAAGCTATGTGAACCCTTTGGCTTTATCTGGATTTCACCATAAACTAGCCATAAAATTTGATCTGATCTTCAGCTAGGTCACATCAGTAGACAAACGCACTCTGCTTAAATGTAGGGTGGAAGTGTTCTATCCAAAAGCTAACTGGGGTCGGGAGTCATCTAACCTGGAGTCCAATCAATGAGACAGGATTGGAGGTCAGACTCACCTTGCCCTATAAACCAACCATTACAATGTTTGTCTTTCACAAGACGCTTTGTCTGATGTGAACCATCCAAAAAAAGAGCTTTCCAAACACAGAATTGTTGACTTACATAAAGCTGGAAAGGGATACAAAAGCTTGATCTCAAGAGAGCAATGCACACAAGACATCTCAAAAATATCACTGAACTAAAAGTGCCAAATGTCTGACAGTTGTGCATGGCTGATTTTTTGTGAATGTTTACATTGTTTTTTAATAAAAACAAAAAAGCATTATTTGTTAGTTCAAGCAGATTGTGTTTGTCTTTTGTTAAAAATAAAAATAAATTTTATGACCAATTTATTCAGAAATCCAGAATTCGGGGAGGATTGTATGTGTTAAATGTGAAGAAAAGTATGCATATCATATTATTAACTCTTTCTCTGCCATCGGCTGAATTTTCCATCTTTCCGTGTTTTGGCTGTTATATGGTAGGAGGTGCTATTACACATCTTCTGATCAAAACACGGTGAAGAAATAGCAGAAACAAGTGATCGTGTATGTTAAAGCAGATGCATATGTAAAATAACGCAATCATCAAACATTAAACAGCATATAAAGCAAAACTGCCTAATGTTACTGAATGAAATATCAGGAAGTGCTATAGGACTGTGAAGCTGTCAGAACATTCTGAATCCAATCTGTATGTAGTCTTTGACAAAAAACATGATTTTCTAACCTTTTTGTTCAAAATTTATTCTGAATCCAATCTGTATGTAGTCTTTGACAAAAAACATGATTTTCTTTTTGTTCAAAATTTTGCTTTTTTAATGAAACTTACCCACATTCAAGTGTTGATAAAAAAAGAATGCATGAAGCTAGAATAAAACCTTTTTTTTAAGCAGAGACTCTGTTCTTTCTTTCAACATGTTGCATGTTCAGATATTCATACAACAAAATATTCTGGCGGCCATGAATCAAAAATGCCGGCGGTGGCTGGAAACTTAAAAAAAAAAAAACAC